TTACAATCTGCTCGTGAGAATCCAAAATATTTGTGAGCGTTCCAGGCTCCAGGCTCTTCCAGCAACGCGGTCGAAGCAGGGAGCATTGCATGTTTGTGCCTGGGAGGTTGGGCATGCATAACCAATTCCGTCCCAGGCCACTGTTTGAATTTGGCCTGGGCGCAGACACTTTCGCCGAGACTGAAGCTACTGGAAACTCGGTCTCATTTGGGCTTAGCAAAGGCAAGCGCTCGCCTCTTTCCATATAGGAAAGGGCAGGGCGAAGGGATGCACATTCGGGCACTTGCACTTGCGGGCCACAGCGCTGCTGGAGCTTAAACTCGAGGGCTTCTTGCTGCGCTAGCGCGAGGTGCGGGTGTGCGCGGGCATCGAGAGGATACAGGGTGCTGTTGAGGGCAGCGCCATAGCCCAGCCTTCATAGCCGAGCTGGGGCTTGGACACAGTCAGCGGGTGGTGGTGGTCTTCGTGGACGGGAAGGAAGACGTGGGTGATGAAGATGAGGGTGAGAAGATAGAGATGAGGTTGATGATGTGAGGGCACGCACCTGGTCTTGGAGATGGTCTACAAGGTCAACATCTTCATCCACTGCGGTTGTTGCTGCTGACGTCAACGGGATGCATTGTCAATTCGTAGGCTGCTAGTAGCTGTCTAGTAGTAGTCCGGGCGTTGAGCGCCAAGTAGAGGGAACGGCTCTGGATACATATGTTGGTGGTGGCGAGATTATGCTGTCATTGACATTCGGATTCAATGCTTTGGTTCTTCGTTAGTTAGTGCATTTCTGCTTTCTGGACAGTGTTGGTCTTTCTGGCTTTCAATTTGAAACTGCATTTCGGAATTCTTTCATTTCTCTATATCTCATCGTCCTTGCAATTTGGTATCAAAGCTGGTTCGAGCCGCTCCGCTGGCTCCTTCGCAATAGCTGTTTGGTGCTTGCAGGATACGGTGGGGTAGTGATAACGCTTGTGCATTGTGTAGTGACGGCGGCCCAGTGTCGTGCGGGTGCGCCAGGAAGGCTATGTGGTGACATAGGGGTGCATGCTGGATGATGAGATCTTGCCGACGTGGCAATTTAAGCCGAGATGGAACTGCATTGCATTGTGGGTTGTGTCGAGGCACTGACCGGTCATCATATGCACATGAGGTTACCGGTGAGAAATCTGTGGTTGGGGGCGGCATTATGAGGTACGTTGCTCCTTACCTTATCTACCCTCTTTGTTACTTACCGTGAGGTAGTGAATTCTATCTTGAGAGTACTCTCATTTTGAGGTGTCGCGAGCGCTCAACCTTTGAAAGTCGACATTCTTCTTGGGGAGCAAGCTGGTGGGAGACGGGCGTTGTCTATGAAGGGCCCTGGACAAAGCACGCGGGTCACGGTCACCATCCCAACCCTCTGGGACTAGTACACGCATGCTTTGCCGCTTGTCCTTCGTTCTGCTTGCTGCGCTGTAGAGGGAACGTGGACTGACCAATCCTTCGGGAGACGTCTACCAGACCATCTATAAATTAGTTCGGCGGAATCTGATATGAATACTGGCTCTGGTCATCCTCCTGTCTGCGACGTTACATAATTCCTGAGGACCTTGGGGGCTGTCCTTAAACTGCCTCTTGATCGGCCAGATCAACCGGATGGAAGGCTCGTTGCACGCAAGGATAAATAACAGGCAGAACTCGTCATAAGCGATTTCCTGGGCACAAGTGTGGGTTGATTCTACTAAACGGCTCGATTGTTTATTAATGTAAAATTCCATTATGGATGCACAACCAGCAAATAATTTTATTTTTATTTGTAATTAGTAAGTTAAACTTAGTTGTGACGGACGTTGCTAACAACTGACAGACACCTGCAGATAGGTAGTAATCATTCCTTGCTGCATTGCGATCTGTTTCAGACAGTCAAAAGTAGGAATAAAATTGCTTGTAGGAATCTGAGATTATCTGCTGTTACCGCTGGACTAATTTCTGACAAAGCTTGACCGAACATTTATTTCGCTCCGGTAGGTCCTAGTGAGGACTCTAGTAGAGATCGCAGGCCACTCATAGCTCATGAGTGGAGATGACAGTGAGGTTGAGGGACTAGACCAAGACGATAGGAGGCTTACCCGGAGACGTGCACTCAGTCGGCCGACCACTTTCCTAGTGTTAGAACACGACGAGGAAAGGAGACTGGGGAGAGAAGCCAGAGAGAGGACGACATTGCAGAGGGCTAGGGAAGCAACAGCCAGGGCCGAAAGGGGACTAGCAGCAGCATTAGCAGCAGACGCTAGAGCCAATGTCAAGGCAGCCATGGATATCGCCTCTACCATGTCACAAGCCTCATCTCAGGCCTCTTCGTCAAGTGCCAGTCAAGGTGTCCCCTAGGTTTCCGTTAGTCAGTCTGCTGGCTTGCAGGTCAGCCAGCAGCAACCCATGTCAGATGAGGATTATGAGATCCAGCAAGCGGATGCTCTGCAAATAGAGTTACAGCACCAGCTGCGGGAAGTAGAGGGAAGGAGAGAGAGCTAGGATGAGAAAAGCCAGATTAGGGGCGAGGGGAGAGAAGTTATGGAAGTCAAAAGCTATAGATGAGTGCACTCTCGATCCTACAGGGTTGTCCCTTCGGAACTCCCTATTGAGTGTAGCTGAAGTAAAAGCTGTGCAGCGGGAGATTCTGACCGCATTGCAGGCTCCTCGACGATCGGTCAGGCAACCACAGTTTGCTGTAGCTCCCCCTACGGTTGCAGGTCCAGTGATGACGCGGTCGCCGACAGGGCAACCCTTTTTAGTCGAGTTTGGCATACTGTAACATGTGGGAGGCGGAGGATATTGAGAGAGAGAGAGAGAGAGAGAGCTTAGTGAGTGTACTGATGGTGAGAGGCAGCAGCCAAAGTCAAACGCTAGCGCCTCGCGACCTGCGGACGGCTGGGCCCGTCCACCAAGACTCGCGCAAGATACGTGGTGTCATGTGCCACACTGGCTGACTGAAGCCACGTGTCTTGAGTATCTGCGGCCTCGGCTACATATGCCGGAATGGGAATTCCCACGTGGCGCCTGCAGGATGCAGCTACGTCGGCGCGACTATCGACGTGAAGGAAGATGTTCTCAGCGACAACTGTGGTGAAGATCAGCTTTCGACGACAGTCCAGCAAGGGATGTACAGGGAGCCGTCTGGAGAAGCGTGACCAGGAGAAGGAGGGACGGGGAAGCGAGTGGGGGAGATCATCTGCTTCTAACGACGGCCCACCATGGAATGAAGTGGGAAGTGGCCAAAATAGAGAGACAGGGTGTTGAAGTGGTGTGGAAGCAACCAGGAGAAACAGAGAGGTGGTAGTGAGTGAAGGGGGTGGGAAATAACGGGCCGAAGGAGAGGACGACATGTCTCCAGTGAAGGCAGGGGAGGGGGGACGATGTGGACCGGTGATAGCGGGGGGTGGTTGCGGAGCAAAGACCGCCCGTGCCTGAGCGATGTGCTACAACGGAGACACAAAGCGGAAAGAGAAAACAACGGTCGAAGGAGACAACGATAAGGCTCGCGTCAAAGTTGGGGAGGGCGGACCACGTGGACCGGTGATGGCGGGGGGTGATTGCGAAGCAAAGGCCGTCCGTGCCTGAGCGGCATGCTACAACGGAGATACGGAGAGGAAGGAAACAACGGAAGGCAGGACCAGTGAGGTAGTGACGACAACGCTTGCCTGATGAGTTCTTGCTTCACACCCTAACCCCTGCCCTGATACCCTGGACTGACCCTTGGATCTGCTCTTCTGACCTTCGATACCGCACGTGCCCTTGCCCCATGCCCTTGCCCCGCACTCACCCTAACCCTGCTCTCCTGACCACACCGTCGACGGTGTAGATCACACCTCCCACGGAAATACTGCCAATTCCCCCACGTAACAATAATCAGCCATCGGATGCCCGACTGTGAAGGCTTTGTAGACACCAAACACTACGAAGCGCACCCTTGCCGCCCCTTGTTACGCACACAAAGCTTGTATATGACTCATGGCCGAATGACGCCACATATTATTTTAGTTGACTAGGGGTTCTCTAAGTGCGCTTCCAGTCATACAAATGAACGCCGGCACACGACAACCGAGGCAACTTTGAGTGCTTCTCGTTATATAATCAACGCTTGCATATGACACAAGGCCGACGACGTGCGACAGCCACGTTGAAGCCGGGAAATGCATCAGAGTTGACCCAGGGTGTTTGGGGGTTGACCTCTCCAAACATACAACTAACTCTCCCTTTCAAAAATTTTATATGTAAACAAGTGTTATTGCGATGGCGAAGAAAAAAAGGGCTCAACCATGGGTGGGAGCTGGAACATCGGCAGAACTCCCCTTCCCTGTTGACCCACATATTAAAATAGGGGACATCCCCCCGCACAAACAGAACTGCCAGGATGTGATAGTGGGACCGAAACTGACAGTGTGCCCAGAACGGTGGGAAAGGCACAAAAGAAGGGAGGTGCGGCAACATCTCCCCCCCTCATGCCCGATCTCCACAGGGGATGGACGGAGCACTACCTACCTCAGCCGATGAATCAGGTGGGCAAAAATCGATGCTGCCCCAGGGGAGGGAGGGGGGGAACGACAACAATGGGAAAAAAAGAAAGAGACGCCTCATGGACGACTATACTCCAGGCATCGGGATCAGGATCTGGCCGGAAGAACCAAGCTCCCCCTCTTGCTAACAACAGAAAAGCCCCCCCTCAGCTGATTAGAGCACTCTCCGCCCCCGCCTAGTCGGATGCACAGAGATCCTCTGCGCTCGCCACTATGGCCCCGTTGAAAAGCCAGCTTATTCAACAACTCTATGTTGAGCCACAGAGGAAATTTCAGGTCAGGGAAGGATACATCTACCCTCACTCGGTTTTCCCTTCCCAGGCGAAGACGGCAAGGGAGGCGATCTACTCTCACCGGGCACTACAGTTTCGCTTTCAACCAATGCAAACAGCGATCCCGATCAACGACAAAGTTAAATGGATTGCTGACAAACTTGGTAGGATTAAACCAGACCGCCAGCTAGTGCACGACCACTTCCTCATCGAGGTGGAAAACCCGGACTGCATCATTGTTCTTGCCCTGTATTCGACCGATAAGCATATCATCTTGAGGAACAGCACCATGCAGTTCAGAGGCTCGCCAGTGCAAGTGTTGGACTGGACCCCTGCCAACCCACAGTCGAGTGATGACAGAAGAGAATACCTAATGAAGTCTAACTTTTGGGTCGAGTTTAGATTCGCCCCTCTCTGCGTGCAAGGCGCGATTCTTACTGACCTTGAGAACATTGCTCGAGTGATGACAGAAGAGAATACCTAATGAAGTCTAACTTCTGGGTCGAGTTTAGATTCACACCTCTCTGCGTGCAAGGCGCGATTCTTACAGACCTTGAGAACATTGCTCCCGTTAAAGGTTATATTACAGATCTCCCACACTTCTTGGGAAAACGGGACAATTCCCTCCTCGTGGTCGTGGATTGGGATCCGGAATTTCCCTTCCCCCTCAATGAAGAATGGAGATACTCGTATAGGGGTAAAGAATTCTCTGTCCCCGTGAGTCACTCCCAAGACCCCTGGTGCTATGCATGCAAAAAACGAGGCCATCTTTGCACTGATGACTCGTGCCCCAAACAACAAACCGAAAATCAGGGGACCGGTGATTCACCATCCCACGGATGAGGAATGGTGGTACCCAGAAGAGAAGGAACTGGAGGGGTGGATCTTCAAGGCATACGCAGATGGCCGACCTGGGAAGTGGATCTGGCAGAATAAGGACCGACCAAAAGCATTCCCGGCTGGAGCAAAAGTGCAGATCAACGAGGACCCCAAACAAAAAGGCAAACTCGAAACCACGTTGGGGTCTGGAAGAAAACAAAACGCCGACCACCTATTGCCCACAGGAGCAAAAGTGAGCACCGCCGGTATGGGGAATCATGGAGCTCTCGTGGCATGCAGCAGGCCGCCCCAGGATTTCCCCCAACAGAGATATGTGCCAAAACAAAATGGGGACCAGGGCGACAAGCGGCACTTGCACACCCCTTCCGCAAGTGGGCAAGGTGGGTCAGCGACCCCCATTCTTAGGGAAGACAATCTGCCCCCCCATGTTTCGCTGTCTCCGACAGAGGGAGGGCACCCTCTCCCTACACATGACCAACGGCCTGGGGAGGGAGGCGGTGACAGCATACAAAAGGCCAGATGTCTGTGACCGCAGGCCCTGGATCAGATCACCGATCCGAGGGCCTCCTGTCCTCTAGCAGGAGGCGAAGTAGGAGGGATAAGGGGTCCGACCTTGAAGGATGAGCAAACTGGAATACAGGTGACTCATATACATAATCAAATTCGCTCTCAGCCATCCTCGGGGCTGGACTCCACCCCGCGGGGAGCTGGAGGGATGGGGGGTCCGGCCTTGATGGATGCGCAACCTGAAATCAAGGTGGCTCATATACACACCCACATTCACTCTCGGTCATCCGCGGGGCCGGAACCCCCCCCGACTCTGCTCCAAATCCGTCCCTCCCTGCTGCAGCCCCCACCTTCTGGGGGTGAAAGCTTGGGGGCGGAGGACGATAACAGATCACGGAGACCTCCAAATAGGGACCCACAGCAAGCCAAACCCTCGCTTGCTGGACTGAAAAAGACTGCCAAGGTGTCATCGTCACAGACAAGGTGGCTCAAAGCGATCTCGCTCGTCAACAAAATCAAAGGAGCAGCCTTTCCCCATTCCCGGTCTGAACCGGCTGTTGCCTTACCCCAGAGCACCACAGACCTAGCCAAACAACTGGCTGCAGACTTGTTGCCCCCACATCAAGGCCCTCAGGGGGGACAGGGAGAGGGGGAGGGGAAGAAGGTGGTGATGCAGCAGGAGCAGCACTTACCCACGACGCTGCAACTCCAGGAATCGCAGCAACACCTTGGCCAACTCCAAGACCTGGCTGGCGTCCTGCCTCTTGAGAGGCAGAGGGAGCAGCCCCACCTGGATCACAAGCACCAACTGGACCTCACGAGGAAAACGCAACAGCAGCCAGTTCATGCTGACCTGATGGCGCCTGCAGAATTGCAAATGCAGCAACTGAATGGTGGAACGGAACAGGATCAACGATGGATGATGCCGGAGGAGCAACAGCAAACCCTGCAGCTCTGCGATAAACAACAACATGTCAGGGTGCAGCAGGGGCGCCAACAACTCCTTGCTGATCAGCCATACACCCAGCTCTGTCATGAACAGGACCTACAGCGCCAGGACCAACAACTGAGCAGGGTGGAGTTGGAGGAACAGTGCCATACCCGACGGTGCCATGATCAACAACACTGTTCTCCCACGGAGCAACCACAGCACCGGGATCCGCCTGACCCGCTGCGACACATGGATGTGTGTCAAGAGCACCAACTGTACCAGGGCATATCAATGGATAAGCAACTGCCACCTCAGCAACAGCACCAACAGCAGCTGCAACATTCCGACCCCGCCTCTTACCAGGCTGCTCACATCCAAGTGTCTCAACAACAACTTGATCCGCAACAAGAACATCAACAACAACAACAACAACAATTACAGCAGCAATATCAACAACATCAACAGCAAGCTCAAATGCAGTTGATGTGCCAAGCGCAGGGGCAGCCTCAAGAGCTCCACCATCAACAACAACAACATGTCTTGCAGACCAAGCAATGTGAGGAGCAGCTCCGCATCCTGCTGCAAGCTCAACTCGCGCAATACCATCAACAACAATATCAACAGCGGGTGTTACAAAGGCAGCAGCTCCTACAGCAAATGCACTTACATTGGCAGCAGCAACTATGCTGCCAGCAACAACAGGTGCTGCAACAGCAATAAGAGCAGTTGCATATGTTCTGGCAGCAACAGGCTGATCACCAGAATGCCCTCCAGCTGCAGCAGCCCTTACATCACCACACGATCTGCGGAGTGTCAGACAATCAGGATGATGGTCGTCTCCTCCAAGACATGGATACATCTGCCCCGGAGGACCCGCCCCCGCTGCAACAAACCCACCAAGCCTTACCGGTGGCAATGGACCTTGAACTGCCCCCGCCAGAGATGTCACAGATGAATGAGCTGCCCCCTCCTTCTCCCCTGTCGGATAACGATGAGGTAAAGCAGAAGCTCCAGTTTTTGACTGATTGGACCCTTACCAAAATCTTCTCGCTTACAGACAACAAACCGCAGGACATGCTTAAAATGAGATATTGGGGGGAGGCAAAAACGGTGCTTATGTATAGTCCGAGAGTCCTTGCGATAGTGGAGAAATACAAGACAGTCGCAGCGGTAGACTGGATGGATGTGGGGGCGGCCATTGTCCTGGTGGTTAATGAGTTCTTGGATAAGATACACAGCTATGCTACGAACAGTTCCGCAGGAATAGACGCTGGTCCTCAGGGAGAGGCATTCCTCCATGAAGGTTTGGCTTGGCCTAAGGCCCTTGTGCATGAACTCTGCATAACCTTGCATGCCCTCCCGGAGGTGAAACAACCACAGGAATTGCCTCGAATTGGACCCCGCCCTGCCCTGCAAAATGGGGATCCACCGCAAGGGCCAGACCCCCCACAGGATCGCTGCATAAGCCTATGTGCCCTCCCGGAGGAGCCACATCCATTGGAATCCCCGCAAACCGGTTCCTTCGCTGCTTTGCAAAATGGCGAACTGTCGCAAGGGCCGGACCTCCTGCAGGACCAATTGAACCACGTAACGAGTTCTGCTTTCTCGCGTCAGGTCGCCGTCATAGAAATCACCCATGATGACGACTGCGACAACTTGCAGCAGGCATCGGATGAAGACCTGGTCACCACACCACCCCCTAAAAAAAATGAGAGAGTTGGTGAGACTCCAGGAGGACGACAGCTCCCCGGTGGCGATGCCCCAGGGAGTGGTTCTCTTCCCGATCACCCGGGTAAAACAAGGAGGTGACTGGGTCCTGAGCCTTAGGCCACCACGGGAAGAGGCTCGTGGTCACAACATCAATCCTAAGGGGCCTTACAGTGGATGGCTGGAGAGGCAACCCCTCCACAGGGGTCATCTGTAAGAGGCGTAAGTACTGGTTGAGCGAGGCAGCTACCGGTGGGGTGCTGGGAGCGGTGTGCCCTAAATCCCTTACATTCCCAAAGGGTATCACCCCGGTTCTTTTACTGCTAGACCCCAGGGTCAGACTGCGGAAAACACCTAACGGCTTCTCATGGTTTAACCATAAGCAGGTTATGGATCTGTCTGCCTCCCGGTTCAGGGCCAATGCGGAGTGGACGTGCAGTCACGTCCTGGTGTTTATGTAGTTCTTCCTCGAGGACAGCGTGCTGGAGATGCATAATCAATGGGACGCCCCCTCCTTCGTCCTCCCCATCAAGACCGTGGACTGAGCAGTGTCAGAACGACATATTGACAGCTCGTAAACCCAACCAGTATTTTTGGATGGATGACCCGGTTGTGCATCAACAGTCTGTCGATCAGCAACAGGCCTGTGGCCCTCCAACGGTCCACTCGACCGTTGCACCACCACCGGCCCCGACCCCCCCCCCACCGCCATCATGCCCCCCATCCCCCCCAGTGTCCCCCAAAATTAGGAACCCTCCACATTGGGCATCTAAACTGGCCCGGGTTGACATAGATAGCCGTTCACTCAACGTAAACGGACTCGTACAGGCAACCCCGGAGAAGAGACAGGTAATATGGGCAATGCTTCAAAATCCGGCCTCTAATGGTTGGCCGGATGCGGTGTGTGTCCAAGAAGCACACCTTCAAGACACCCCCCCGCATGTGGCAAAAGGGAAAGCCATCTGGCCCTACACCTCTTATCAAGCACCCGCAAAGGTAAGGGCGTCAACTGGAGTGGCGATCTGGATCCCTCCTTCTTCGAAACTCAGACCCCTGTCGGTACAACAGGACGACCAGTGGGGCAGGTGGGTGGCTCTCAAGGTGGCCTATGAAGAGGAGTTGTACCTTGTTAATGTCTACGCCCCCAATGACCCCGTGCATAGGGTGGATCTCTGGCTTACCCTGCACCAGTGCCTCCCGGACAATGCCCCGATCATAATGGCAGGGGACTTCAACACCACCCTGGATCCGGTGTTGGATCGAAGGTCAACCTCACAACGACAAGACTCGCAGACAACATCGCTACCACATGTAGGCTTGGACATCCTTATGCTTAGGCAACTGATGGCGGATAGGGGTTTGGAAGACGCCTATAGAATGCTTCACCCATCTCAAAGGGCCTATACATGTCTGTCCTCCAAGGGTGACCAAGGCCTGGCTAACTCTCGCATCGACCTTACGCTCGTTTCCAAGGATCTTCTCGAACTGGTCACCACTGCAGAAATTGCTGCTATCAGCCCGTGCAAGTCCTTTGACCATAGAATGGTCACACTTGGACTCTCCTTCCACACCCACATCACTAGGGGACCGGGGTTCTACAAGCTTAACACCTCACTGCTAGCCTTACCCAAGTTTAAGGACTTGGTCAATGAATTTTGGAGATACTGGCAGACCCCGAAACCCGCATCGGGTGAAAGGGTGGCCTGGTTGAATGAGGGAATGGCTCAACTAAGGAATAGGGCCAAAAAAAATGATATTCAGCATGCAAGTGATCATAAAGCCATCCTCGATAGACTCATGCAAGACCTGGAAGAATGGGATAACACACAGATGGACAATCCTCTTCACCAACCCTCATTCCAGAGATTGCAAGAGGCACGAGAGCACCTCCTTGACTACATAGAAAGACAAACACAAGCATGGAGAATTGACGCCAGGGTAAAAAAAGCCCATACTGACGGAACAATGGCAAAATCATTTTTTGCTAGGGGAACCAGGGCCGCAATAGTCCTTAGCCTAAAAAATCCTCTCCACAATGATGCCCGCATAGCCTCTAATGCCTACGCGATAACGGACTATGCATCCCAGTACTATCAGCACCTCTTCACCTCTCGAACTCCTGAAAAATGTCCACTTGAGGTCCAAAAAGCAAGGGAGGACTTACTTGAAGCGCTCCAATCACGCCTCACACCGTACCAAAGGCAAATGCTGGAAGAACCTCTCTCCCCAGCTGAAATATGGGAGGCTCTGAATGGTATGGAGGATAAGAAAACGCCAGGCATTGACTCTTTCCCAAAGGAGTTTTGGGTACACTTCTGGGACCTGCTCCATGAAGACCTCACGGGCTATATCGCGGCGATACACATGGAGGGCTCCTTTGGGGCCATGATTGGGCAGGGAGTTACTACACTCCTCTACAAGAAAGGGGACAAGGAGGACATAAAAAATTATAGACCAATCACCCTACTTCCGGTTCCCTACAAAATGGTGGCCAAGGCCCTGGTCAACCAGCTGCTTCCCCTAATGAACATGTTGATTCATCCTGATCAGACTGGGTTTATGCCCAATCGCAAGATTCAAGACAACATACTGTTGGTCAATGAGACCATAAAATATGCCAGACAACAGAAAGTTCCAGCAGCGATCCTGTTCATTGATTTTGAAAAAGCGTATGACCATGTTGACTGGGACTTTCTGGACATGTGCCTGTTTAATATTAACTTCGGACCCACTTCTTGTCGATGGATCCGCCTTCTTCATAAATCTGCCACCACAAACATTATTCTCAATGGGCACCTTTCACCCCCTATTGCGCTCCAGAGATCAGTGCGTCAGGGGGACCCCATTGCACCCCTACTTTTCATCATTGTTATGGAGTCCCTTGCATCACTCATCAGGGCCCATCCTCGGATAAGTAAGGTTCCCATCCCGGAACTTCCAGACCATTTTATTTCGATGACCTCGCTATTTGCAGACGACCTCACTGTTCTCATAAAGGCGGACGCTGTTAGCATTCAGGCCCTCCCGCATGTTATACACCAGTTCTCGCTTGCGGCAGACATGAAAGTGAATTGGGGCTCCAAAACGGAAGGCTGGTGGTTGTGTCCTCAACATCAGCCCCCGCCGCCGCAATCGGCGGTTAAATGGCAGACAAATGATGAAGCTATTCGCATTCTCAGCGTGAGACTAACGGCACTAGGGCCCCCTCCAGATCATGGGGATGCACTGGTGAACTCAGCAATTGACCGTTTAGCAAAGTGGGAAGACCTCCATACCTCGCTAGTGGGACGAGCCTTGGCTATTAACAACGTTGTGCTTGCTGCGATCTGTTATAAACTGGCAGTGTGGCCACTGACGAAACACCAGTACGCCAGGCTTAGAAGAGCCCTCACGACCTATTTTTGGAAAAACAAAGCGAATTCCCAAGGCTATATGAACAGAGTCGTCTGGGACATTCTCACCCAATCTAGGACCAAAGGGGGCCTTGGGATACTGGACCCGGAACTACAGAGTGACGCCCTGATGTTTAAAGTGTGTGTCAGGCTGCTGCTGAGGAATGATATCCCGTGGAGCCCCTTGGCCTGCATACAAATAGCTAATATGGCCCCACAGCCGTTGACAGTGAACAGGGTACACCCGTTCCAATGGCTGACCAACAACAATTGGACGATCCCGGGGCCGAGCTAGCAAGGGTGTGTGGGAAACGCTCCGGATCAAGCGGTCAAACGTGATATCCCAAATGACCCCTTGCGGCCCTCCATGATCAGACTCTGGCGGAAACGAGGCCCGACGCACAAACGACCGCAGAACAGGTGGCATACGGTGTGGAGACAACCGCTCTTCGGTAACCCTCGTATCCTTGATCACACAGGTAACCCCTTTCTCCTCAACGCTAACTCGCACTGGTTGATCTGGGCAAGGAAGGGGATCTTTACTGCCGGGATCTGTGGGACCCGAGAGCAAATGACTGGGCTACTCCACCACAAATGCAGGCCAGACTGAAGCATGTCAAGAATGTCGACGACAAACTTTTCCAGCTAAGAGAGGCCTTCCCACTGGCCTGGCAGGGCACCCTGATGCAGGGCCCACGATACAACAACATGACTGGGTGGTTAGATACGCTGACCTCCCTCGTCCGCCTACTGTCTACCGAGTGCACAGGAACGACGATGGGAAATGTGTGTTGGAAGCCTACAACCTTGCCCGGTCGGGGGCCCTGCCAGGGAGATCTCTAAACTTACATGGAGAGAAAACCTCGATATCACTGAAGACTGGGGAGGTTTGATGATTATAAGGGTGGTGGGAGATCCGGACAATGGCTATCACGCATATGAGTCCTCAGTGCCAGTAGCCAGACTGTCGTTCGACCCGGACGAGTGGGAATGGCCTGGCAAAAAGCCCATGCATGTGTGGGATTACATAGTCCGAAGGCGTTATAAAACATCCCGTCGAGACATGCCCACTAATCACAGACTGTTGCTCAGGTGGGAGAGAGACTCACCTGTTGATGCAAGTCTGCTGCAGAACCTGTCTTGGGCCGCCTATTCTAAAATTATGCCCACGAACCTTAAGTCGATGCAGTGGCAAATCTTGCACCGTTGCCTCCCCACCCCGGATTGGCTTGTGTCCAAAACTGACCTTGAGCAGAAAGGTCTATTGTCTCCCATTTGCACCAACTGTCGTGGGACCGCCCAGCCGGCCAGGGCAACATTAGAACACTGCCTGCTGGCCTGCCCGATGGTTGCCCAGATATGGAGATGGTGGGATGCGGCTTTTCACGCCCTGACTGGGTTCCACATCCCGTGGGACCTGGGTCTTATTCTGCTGGCTAAAAACAACCATTTGATGGCGCAATGGTCCCCCTTCGCCACTAACCTCTTTGCCTACACGAGACTGTTGGTGCTCATGCTTGCCTGGAGAGCAAGGTGTTCCTTCGAAAGAAAGGATCACCAAGTAGGGCTGCAACAGGCGCAGCAGGCTATCGAAGAAGAGATTAGAGCTCGGACCTTAGAAGCCTGGAGGACAATGCAGCAGGACTGCCTACAGGAAACAGACCCGGAGGCCAGACAAGCCCTTTGAGAATCTTATCTCCAAATATGGCAGGACCCCAACCGAACCTTCTCAGAACTGAGGGACGGGGTTCACATTTGCTGGAACCCTTGGAGAATGGGTGAACCCGGCTGGCAGAGACGACCGTTGGGAGACTTTCAGGTCCCATATCTCCCAACTAACTTTGTGCTTATTCCGTCCGCTTCTAACTAGCTCTGTGTTTCCCACGGGTTGGGGGATGCCCATCCCGTGCCCCGTTCCCTCCCTCCCAGCCCCTCACCTCCCCTCTGCCAGAGTCGACAGTGCCAACAAGGGATCATCAACCGCAACATGAACAGTCGGATGTCAGACTGAAGAACCGCAATCCGGGTGATAATCACTGCGACGAAGGCTGTGGGTGGTCAAATGGCAAGCAGTTGGCTGCGGAGGATGAGCTACTGAGCTTCGGGGCAACCACAGGTCGGGATGCTATGACCACTGCAACGAAGGTTGTGGGGGGTGAAATGGGATGCGATTGGCTACGAAGGATGGGATGCCACTGATAGGACCGGCAACGGGGAACCTGAGCTTCTGAGCGTCAGGGCAACCACATGATGGGTTGCAAAGATGAATGGAGACCCGTTGTTGTCTCATTTTACAATTCAAGACAAAGACAAAGACTCACTGTAACCTGTTGTGATTGCACGGGACACCAAATGTGACCAACTACGATGGATCTCTGGCTTCGTGATACAAAAGGGCTTGAAATAAATAGGGGGGTTGCGGACACCAAGGGTAGGAGTTTAGCTACTGTTGGCAGGAGAAGCATGGACATTGAAGCACGGCGGACACCACCCTGGGTGGGGCTAGGCCAGTGGGAAGTAGGAGCTTTGCTATCTGGAAGGGTAACATACGCAGCCTCGGGGGAGAGAAGAAAGCTCAGGAAAAATAACTCTAATGGCCATATGCCCAACAATCACTGTACCACAAAGATGTATCCAAGGGACGGTGGACCCGATTTCCAGCAGGTGCTGCTCCCCACCAATAGATGGAGCCTCCCCGATGGTGCTAGATGTGTCTGCTCTTATCAGCACACCTAGCATCCGATCTCCAAAAAAAAAAAAAGAAAAAAAAAAAAAGAGAGAGAGAGAGAGAGAGAGGAAGGAGAGGAGAGGGAGAGAGAGGAAGGAGAGGAGAGGGAAAGAGTGAGAGCACACACACACTCACTCAATCGACACGACTGGAGGACTAGACGGACGCAAAGAAAGTAGCGGAGTCACAAAGTGGAAGTCTTCAATTCTCAATACTGGAGGGGCGAGTCACACAGAGCAAGGACAATAGCTGAAAACTAGTTGCCCGATGGTACAAGTGGCCGATGTATATATCGGTATGTTGTGCCAAACGCGAACCGGGTCTGCAAGGTGTTGGGCACGAAACTTCAAAATGTTGGATTTTGGGAGTGGCGCCAAAACCGGGATGCAGCAGACAAACAAAAAAAGGCTGCAAGCGGGCGTGTGGCCGGAAGACTAGGGATCCCTCCGGAAGGCAACGTCTTGGCTGCCATGACCTAATGAAAAACTGTAAAGGACTGGATGGGGCCGATCACTGGTCAGAAAATAAAAGTAAAAGTGGAGTAATGCAAGTGGCAGGGTAATATTACTGATGTTCTACAAGGGTGAAGGTATCGGTGTTCAGATAAAAGGGTAGTTGAGGTTCTGCAAGGTTGAAGTAACAGGTAACAGGGCAATACTATTGATGTTCTACAGTGACGAGAGTATCAATGTTCAAGTAACAAGGTAATCCTATTCAAGTTCTACAAGGGTGAAGTAACAAGGTAATCCTTTTGAGGTTTTGTAGGTAAGAGGGCAGTCCTATTGATGTTCTACAAGGTTATTAGGTTTGATCAAAATTAAAACAAAACTTGTTTGTTCAATGCTCAAGGGTTGGGGTGTCTGAGGGATGTGGGAAAACAAAGTCTCAGGTTTGTAACAAAGTGTCAAAAAGCAAAAAAATGTCTTGAGAAAGGTCTTCGGAGGTCTTGATCATATACAGAATAGGTGAGAGAACCGGTCTTCAGTGGGTGCAACAGGTAGTTGTTGAATGTCCAAACTGCAAGAAAGCGAAGTAGGAGTACAAGTGTCCAAAGTCAAGTGTTGAGGACCAGCACAAAACCACCTTTCAGACCAGGTATTGTTTGTACAAGTTTGTGGTGATCCCCTTTGGCCTATGCAATGCTCCTGGGACGTTCCAGCACGCAATGAACCAAATCATTTATG